ATCCACTGCACCACCTGGCTGCCCCTAAGTTTGACAATGAAGTAGAAGTCTGATCATCTTCTACCTAAGACAATTCCCTTTTTAGATACTTTGTGTTTCCACACAGACAGACATGTGGGTGGGCAAACTTGCCTCCCTTCTAAATGATTCAGTTATTTTTTTAAAATACACACATACACACACACATACATACACATACATATTAGACTAAGCTACCTGAAGCTTTTTGACTGTAGAGTCATGAATGTAAGCCATCACCATTATGCATTTTTATTTTTTATATTCTGTATTCCATTTGATAATATCACAGTACCTCTTCTGCCCCAGGTTTGATGTTTTTCTTTGGCTGTGGACTGATTATAAAACAGCCTGTCTGCAATGCCTTGATCTATAGTTTCAAAGCAGTTGGAAATGCAATATTTGCTAAGTAGTCATGATGGTTTGATTTGTGTATAATGTGTATAATGGTGATCATTATTTCAGGAGTGATAATATTCAGTTTTATCCCATTTTAGTGGTATAAATGGTTCTGTATCTTCCCCTGCTTTGAATAGCTTTTGAATCAGTTTCTCAGTGCCATCACAAATGTATTAACTCTAGCATGAATGATGTCTTCTATAATCAGTTGGTCCTGTGCAACTGCTTTTCTCATCTCTGTTCTTTTTGGGGTGATTTCCATCTCCCCAATAAGCAAATTGGGACTGAGTCCTAGAGTGATGGCTTTGTTTTCTCTGATGATTAAGTCTTTTCCATTTTTTTGTTTTCTTTTTTCCATTTTCACCTTTAATTCCCTCATAATGACCTTGCTTGGATATCTTGCCAAGCTTTCTTTAAAATGGTTTTTATCCTCAATTGTTTCTGATTTATTAGATGGTACTCATATTCACTTAATATTTCATAATGAGCTCATATTCTATACCAGGGTTTTCTTCGGCTGCCGTCTATTTTGGCTTTGCAAGTTTACTAAAACTTCTTGTAAACTTGATCTCCTTGTTAAGGCAATTGATTTACATACAGCCATTAAAATTTGTTTAAAATTATCTTCATTTCTCTTGTACATTAGGTCATTTTTCATTATCTGACATTTGTTTAAATAGTTCAGGATTAGGTTATTTCAGTTATATGATATACCTTTTTCTCATTATTATTCTTTCTCCTAGATTTTTACTGATTGAGGTGTTTGCTCTGACCAGTCAGTGGTCTGACTACACAGAAAGGGTCATTCAAAGATACTATACTGGCACATCAATAATGAGCCTTTTTTCCTGTCAGTTAAAATATGATCAGTTTCATTTTTTATTTTTTACATTACTTGATGCTAGTCATGTCCAACACTGGTACCTACTGGTTTTTTTCTCTAAGAAAGTATTTATGTTCTGAGAGGCTTCTTTGTAGCCTTTAGCTTTTTTGTTGTTTCTCTTGACCCATACTTTTCCAATATGGTTCTCATGACCCACACCTATTCCCATCAACAATGAAGTCACCAAATAATTGATGTGATTGAAGGATCTTACCAAATTCTTTATAGTTTCGCTATATTCTCTTTAAGCAAATACTGGTACACAAGTTGTAATTTTTGTGGTAGTCTCTTTGAAAATACTTTTGGTTACTATAGTACATGATCACATTTTATGAAATAATATCCTATGAAATATGAAACAAAATCTTTCAACTCCTTTCCTTTGCCTCTCCAAGGATCACCTGTGAATTCTTTCCATTAAATGACCCCTGGGCAAGAATCTCACATTTAGTGTACTAACAGCTACGTTAAAGTTTTTAGATGACTTTAGAAAACCACAAAATACTTATCGTATGCAGGTAAGTGTGGTAGAATCTAAGGGAGGAGAGTGTATGTCTAAAGGACAGGTCTTTGAGGAAGCTTTATTCCTTTATAAACATTGGGTAACCTGTGTTTTGGATGGAAAGATTCTCAGCATGATGATAAGCTAATTTTGTCTTGTCCTTGAGTGGAGCAGCATGATACAATGAAGATGGGAAGAAGTTATTCAGTAAAAAGTAGAAAATGGCACTGGAGATGCTAAGAAATAGATTTGATGATAGTAAACCTCAAACACAGGGGATAGCCAGTGGAAACAAGGGTTAGTGCTGTTTGACATGACCAGTATTTAATCCTTGAATGGGGAGGCACTGGAGTTTATTAAGCAAGGGAGTGAAATGGAATTCAGGAAAATCGGTGGTTGAGTAGAAAAAAAGGTTAGAATAGAATAGGTAGCAAGCAAGGTTATAGGGGCCTAAACTAAGGTAGTGAATGTAGTAAATAATCCATTAAGTGGAGAATGAAGCCAAAGTTATTGACTGAATAACCAAGGATGGTATGGAATGTTGAATGAAATGCTTATAGATCAAATGGTGAGGTTTAAGGATGGAGAATGAAATGTTTATAGGAAAGAGCCAGAAGGTGACATGTATGAGCTCCTAAGGAATAGTTTGGTAACTGATAGGGCTAGTCACTCATATTACCTAATCTTTTGTCCTAAGTAAAACCTAAGATTGAAAAATCCGTTTAGAAATCATCTGTTCTAGCAATGCAAGGATCTAAGACATCTCCAAAAGTCTCATGATGGAAGACGATATCCACATCTAGAGAAAGAACTATGGAGTTTGAATACATATCAAACTATATTTTTTTCGTTTCCTCTTTCTCATGGTTCCTTCTATTGGTTCCAATTCTTCCTTAGAACATGACTAATGTGAAAATGTTTACTGTCAGACTGCATGCTGTCTTGGGGAGGGGGAGAAAATTTAAAACTCAAAAGCTTTTGGAAGTGAAAATAAACTAAAAAATCATGTTCTCAGGTCTCTTGAGGAACTTTAGATGTGGCAGAACAGCCCCCTGCTCTCTGAGGTACATCACACTTGTCAGACTGGCCAACATGACAAAAACAGGAAAATGGTAAATATTGAAGATGTGGGAAAATCGGAACACAAATGCATTGTTGGTGGAGTTGTGAAATGATCCAACCATTCTGGAGAGCAATTTGGAACTATGCCCAAAGGGCTATCAAAATGTGCATACCCTTTGACCCAGCAATACCACTTCTAGGTCTGTATCCCAAAGAGATCATAAAAATGGGAAAAGGACCCACATGTACAAAAATATTTATAGCAGTTCTTTTTGTGGTGGCAAAGAATTGGAAATTGAGGGGATGCCCATCAATTGGGGAATGGCTGAACAAGTTGTAGCATAGGAATGTAATGGAATACTATTGTAGTATAAGAAATGATGAGCAGGCAGACTTCAGAAAAACCTGGAAAGACTTGTATGGACTGATGTTAAGTGAAGTGAGCAGAACCAGGACAATGTTGTATACAGTAACAGCCACGTTGTGTGATGACTAACATTGACAGACATGGCCCTTCTCAGCAATGCAAGGATGTAAGACATCTCCAAAGGTCTCATGATGGAAAATGCTATCCACATCCAAAGAAATAACTATGGAGTTTGAATGCATATCGAAGCATACTATTTGCTCTTTTTTTCCCCTTGTTTTTCTTTCTTTCTTGTGGCTCTTCCTATTGGTTCTAATTCTTCCTTTCAACGTGACTAACGTGAATATGTTTAATAGGAATGTATATGTATAGCCTATCAGATTGTGTCTTGGAAAGGGAGGCGTAGAAAAATTTAGAACAAAAGCTTATGGAAGGGATTGATAAATCAAAATAAATTAATTAGAACAGCCACCTGCTTCCATGAACCCAATAAAGCCCACCTGATATAGCCAGAGTAGAAGTCAACTGCCCATAAGGACTCCATAACTCACGTGTCTGAGCTCCTCTACACTCATCTTTTTACCACCATAATGGTGATGGTGTATGCTCAGAATATTCCCTCCACCCAACACAAAAACCACCTGGTGCAGATGGGTATGTAATACCCAAGTTTGTTGGAGGGAGGAGCAAATGTAAGTATATTAAGCTAAGTCTTAGTCAGAAAAAGAACCCTCATTTGGTCAGGTAGAATTCACAATCAAATCTTAAGAGAAAATATAAAAAGTTAAAACTCAAAATAGACTGTTTTTCTCCATATCCTAATGGTCTTGGATTTTCTGTTTAGTCTTCATTTGTATGGCCTAACCTTTTATGAATTTAAAGTGGGTTAAGAGATTCATTACAAAAAGGATGTCAAATAATTATTTTATTGAAATATCAATTTCATTACAAAAAAGATACCAAAACATTTAAAAAAACTGCTTCTCCAGAGAATCTGCAATGTGGATGGCATTTTAGATGGATAGTTTTCTTTCTGATGACTCTTCCTTTTTTTCCTTGGGCTGTCTTTTCTTTCTCCATTCTCTTAAAAACAGAAAGCATGACAAAATTTAATGTGGAGACCTAGCTGACTTTATTAATGATCACATTACATGTACATAGATAACAAATATTCTTTGAATTGCCTTTCTTGGTCTGTTACTCATTTGATAACATCAGGCTTGTATCTCTTTAGTGAGAGACCATGATAATTACGGCAATTAATCATGGCATCCTATAGAGACTTTTCCTTTTAGGTCATAGCGTTAAGAGCTTCTGGTTTCAAAGCCATGTAAGCCCTCTTTGAAATGACCTGGTATGGGCAGCTAGGTGAGGCAATCGATAGAGCTCTGGCCTTGGAGTCAGGAGGACTTGAGTTCAAATCTGGACTCAGACACTTACTAGCTATGTGACCCTAGGCAAGTCACTTAACCCTGACTGCCTCACCAAAAAGCAAAAAAAAACAAAAAACAAAACAAACAAAACAACCTGGCAAAATAGAGTTTAAGAAAAATCAACTTTACCTGCCCATCTTGAAACATTAACATGTTTAAATTACAGCATAGCTTGCTTCAGTTTCAGTGTACTTGTCAGACTGATCTAAAATTATCAGAAAGATGAAATCACTAGACCATCATTAACATTATTGAGTGGCACATAGTAGGTGCTTAGTAAATGTTTACTGATTGACATCCAATACACCAATACAAGTATGGCCCAGGGCTCTGTTAAAATGTTCCCAAAAGGTTAAATGCTACTAAGGTAGCAAATATAAACCTGCTGGGGTAATTTTTTGTGGTCATGTCCACAGCAATCAGAAACCACATTCTAAAAGCCTTGGTAATGACCAGACAGAATCTCCAGACTCCACCACTAGGAAATTAAGAATGAATAATAATATATTTACACACCCTTTAGGCTAGGTTTTTTCCTTCCTTTTGCTCCTTTGTGGTTGGTAATACATTGTTGTTTTCAGAACACCTGTAGTGATAACATTTTGTCATAGTAAGATGACCATCATTTTTCAGTTATCAGTAATCAAGAAAATTCTAAAAACTCAATGTCTATATTTCAATTGTCCTAAGTTCTATTCAATTAGTAAATGAATCATATATTTTACTGATGAACTCACTTTCTCCTTTGCTCAGTTTTCTTAGGATTCAGTAAGGTATTAACTGCAAAGAACCTGGATGTTCAGAAAGGCCATTTTTCATTCACCTCTTCAGAGCAGTTGAACATTTTGCCAATCATCATCACATCTTTAATGTCCTTTACTTAACAAAATCAGCCAAACAAGTTTCAGAAGGATCCAAATGACAAGCTTCTAAAATAACATCTTCAGTTCAGCAGGATTTTGCCCCAGCCCAATCAGGACTCGTTCCATGGGGGTGGATGCATTAACTTCCACAATCCCAAATAAAATCAAGAGATTAATAATAAATTTTGGAAACGTAAAATTGCCTCAATCAGGCAATCCCAGACTATACTAAATGAAATTGACTCTTATTCCATGTAATATATGTATAGCACATAATCTGCAAAAAAGCACTAGGCTTACAAAAAGCCTATTTCGTTAATGTTGATTGTTGGCAGGTGGACTCCCATGGTGTGTGTGACAGATTCATGCTTTGAATGATGTCAACTTTTGACATCACTGCATGATTCCAGTAACTGATCAGAATACAGCAACAAATGAAGGATCTGAATGATGATGAAGCTAAATTACTACTATAAAAATACTTACTTAGAATGTTGAAAACTGGCCTGATATATATCCATCTTTGATCTTCCTAAAAATATAATTTTAGAAAAGCCAGTCATTGCTTTTTGCACACCACCCCCCCCACAATTCCTTCTCCCTTGCATAAATACACAAAACTAACCTGTTATGGACAGTTAACATTTATCAAAATATCAATCTTTTGTTTGAAAGATTTTTTGGGGGGGGGGGGGGGGTGTCATAGAGAAGGAACTACCTGTAAAAATACCAGGGGCCAGGAGGACAGCAAAGATGCCAACAGATGTGTTAACTAAATGTGACATCTAACAGGCATGATTTTCAGAACCTTATTTGGTACAGACACCACAATTCTTTCAAATTTTGTTTCGCTTGAAAGGCCAATGCTCAACTGCAGAGCATACAAAAATTGCAGACTGTTACAGGTCTCATTGTCACCACTAATAAATCTTTAGTGATGGAAGCAAAACCTGTCTTATTATAGCCACATTATTACACTATGAACACAAATTCCAAATGTGCTCATGATTATTTGGAATATGGCATTTCATAAAGGAATGATGGAATAATGAATTCCATTAAGGCTTAGTATAATCAACATCGACTTGGATCGCTGTCAAAGTGAGGTTACAATTATCATGTACAAATAAAAACCCCCACCAATTCGGAAAAATTTTAAACACAGGAAAATAATCATCTACCTACCGTAAGTATGTCAATTTGCCAATCTCCCATTCAAACAGGTTTCCAGGTCCCTGAAAAATCACCTTTCCTAAAGAAAAAAAATCTAAATATGGATCAATTCAATAGCAAAATGGTAACAAAAATAAGTCAAAGGTACCTTTTAAAATGGCTTGTATCAATAGAAATACCAGGTTCAACATGCACAGTAAGCATGCAACCAACGATGCCAGATACCGAGTTTCTATAGCACTGTCTTCTGAACAGCCCAACAATAATACTGCTGGGTGCAGATACCATACAGTGCAGTCTTTATGTGAAGACATGGATACACAAAAATATTAAACCTACATGTTTAAAGATTTAATATAATCTTATGCAACCCCACCCACCCACCCCAAATATGATATGGTAGGAACCTTTTAAGAGCTCTATCAGCTTTTCCCTAGTTATTTCCTGAAACCTCAGTTTTTCTAAGGGCCATCTTAGGGATCAAATTGTTTGCCCAGACTGGCTGATTAATGTTTTTTTTAAATCAGTGATGTGACAGAAATGCATAAAACACATGAAACAAAAATGTTAAGAATAGATAGCTTTGAACATCTAATCTAAAATCTAATATGGATAACTGTAAAATCAAACTTGAATTGAAAAAAAGAACACAAAAAAAAAACCCTTCAATACAAGATAGGAAGTATGATATGAGAATACAGACCTGAGTTTTTAATAGGCTGTATTGGGATGTCTTAAACCCAGAACTAAGGCAGCAGTCATCTTTCTATATTTACAACCCTGGTCCAAATCAACTTCTTGTTGACCACAGTGCACATCCTGTGAATTCCCTTTGGCAGACAAGCTAAAAGAACAAATAAATTGTTGACAATAAATTGTAAGCAGTAGAGGCCAAAAAAAAGGTCCAAATATTCATCAAGGACATTTTGTGGTCATATAGTTTGTTAGCTCTGTCAGAATTCATTTCAGTTCATGTTTCCATCACTCAGCAGTTGAACAAAAGAATTCATCATATGAACTATAATCGGATTAATGCTAAGACTGTAATGATTAAGCTTACCTACAAACAACATCCAAAGAAACCAGCAAACTGGCATCATCTAAAAGAAAAATTTGTGTTAGTATGGTAAACACATTATTTGAGACAAGATATTGCTTTAGATTTAAGTCTGTCTTGTAGTTTTATCCCCACAGACCTAGTGAATAGATAAGTGGGTAAAGCGATAACTACACATTTGCTGTCTGAGGCGTTTCCAACGATAAGGACCTACGGAAAAGGACCTATCGGGATAGACCTCAAAATGAGATGACCAAAACAAAGAAAACTGTTTAGTCTTCAAAATAAAAAAAGCTAAGAGGTTTAAAACTTACCTATCCTTAAGACAATTTACTATTGTTCAAAAATATATTCAAGATCTTTGATAGACCAAGGTTATGTATCAAAAGCTGAAAAATCTTACAACATGACAACTCTTCCACATTTTACTCACTATAAAGACCAGAAATTTCATACCTGAAAAATTCTCATATAGCTTTAATCACCAAGTTCCTCAATGCAAATTCCTAAGCAGGGGGAAAAAGAGATAGAAGTGGGGTAAAGTATTTCAACTTTCAAGGTATGTATGAACAGTGCTTATCTACCCAATATTATTCTTAACTTCCAGTTTGACTGTTTCTAGTTTTACAGCTTTTTATATTTTCCATTTCATTCTTATTCTTAATCCAGAACACCAAGGCACTCTAAAGGGAAGGGTTCAACTTTCAAGTCTACTTCAAGATGTTCATTAACACTGTCCCTTCTTGTATGTATCACAACTCATACAAAACCATGGGTTGTGGGTTGCAAAAGAGGGTTTGCTGTTTTGCACTTGTCTTTAAGTCTTTGTCTACAATTCAAAACAAAGCTGAACAAAGTGCAGTGACACTCACAAACATGGCACATACCATTTAACAACTAGGGAAATTTAAACTGGGCACTTTTTTTTTTTTAACACTGGCTCCATTCTTCCCAATACAGTGCTCTTCAGCTTGTAGTAGTAAAAAACATCAGTGAAGTATACCATAATGAGACATTGAATATAAATAATACAACATGTAAACATAACAAAACATCCCATAGTACTATTATAAACCAAGTGACGGAACTGCACAGGAGCTGTGGTAGGGGGCACTTCCACTGAGGAAACGTTCCTTGCCATATTTCAAAATTTGTAGACTTAGGCCTGTGGGGCATTAACAAGTTAAAGTAACTTGCTTATAGTGTTACAGTCAGGATATGGCAAACAGAGAACTTGAACCCAGTTCTGACTCCCAGATCAGCTCTAATTCTCTATGCCAAGCTGCCTCTCAGTACCTGTATTTTCTCATGCCTGTTTACTGGATTCCATACCATGAAAATGTGAGAAGAATTAGGTATAATGCCCCAAAAGTAGGAAATAGGTTTCTAAAAAGTAGTTGCCAGCCCTGGGCCACCATTTCAGTGCTCCTGTGAAAAATACATGCACTGTTCAAGTGAGTTGTTCCGGCTTTTTATATCCTCAATCCTAGAAATGTACAAATTTCTGGCATTGTTTTTATCTATATTTCACCTAGCATAATAAATCCAAATAATCTATTACTGCTTACCATTTCTTTTCCCTTTGTCCATGGAATTTTTTTTTCATTGGGCAAAATCTGTTTCATCTTTCTTGCAATTATTTTCTTGAATGTCATTTATACTCTTTAGCACTCTTTCATCTTTGTCTTCACCTTCTCGGGAAATTCAGTACTTATTATGAAACAACTGTTCTCCTATACCAAGAAACATTAAGCAACAACTAAGCTAGGTTGTTTTTAAGTACATTTAAGAATTGGAAAATTAGAAAAAAGGAAACATGAAGTTCAAATATATAGGGGTCATAATTCTTGTTACCTCATCCTCCAAGTTACTACAAATGTTTTATTTACATCCAGAAATAATGAAAAAAAATTCATTGGATTCCAGAGTTCATTTCCCAATTAATACACTCCTCACCATCAACAAAACCTTCTGGATTCTCAAAGAGCCTTTCAAAAATTTACATTTTGGGGGCAGTCAGGTGGTGCAGTGAATAGAGCACTGACCCTAAAGTCAGGGGGATGTGAGTTCAAATCCCAACCTCAGACACATAATACTAGCTGTGTGACCCTGGGCAAGTCACTTAAACCCCACTGCCTCACCAACCCCCCCCCCAAAAGTTACTTTTTTTTTTTTTTGCTAAAGCCTACAACAGATTATGCCTAAATCATATTTACTTACCACCAATTTAATATCACATTCATCTGGATCATCCAACTGGTCTTCCACACTGAAACATTAAAAACAAAAAACACACACCTAAGTTACTTAAGCATTACACATTTCTATTCTCTTCCTTTGTTGAAAAAATGGCTTTCAAATT